CTTTTAGGACAGTAATTCTACCTCACAACCTTTGGACGGAGATGAATACCTTAACTTGTTGAACAACTACGCTAAGGTTAACAGTTAATTTATTTAAATTTTATAATTCGATCAATTTTCTAGTACAAAGTTAAATTATTTGTTCTTTTTACTACTCTTTTGCTCAAAACAAAATTAATCGATACAAAGAGATTAAGATATATTTAAAAATAAAAAATTTATGTATAGGCAAATTATGTTCACACGACCTCAGCGTAACTTATCTAGTTAAGGCACTTATATTCAACTAAAATATCGTGAGTTTAAATTTCCAGTCTACGTGTTGTGATATATATATATATATGAGAATAATAATAATAAAGCAAAGATTTGGGCCAAAGTGATATGGGACATAAGTGTTGACTTCTCTTGGGCCCTATATATATTGGAAACCAAATATTGGGAATATTAAAAATAAAGAATAAAAAGATTACGTGGAGATGGGACATTTTCTAATATTTTATTTCTAAGAATACCAATTTTTTAACATTATAAAATTATTTAACCAATCACTCATTAAAAAAAGAAATTGGTGATTGTATTATATTTTTCTTTGTAAAAAATGCCCAAAGTCTTTGGAAGAATAGGGATTCCTCTTACCAAATCTCACTCTCATCTGTCAATGTTCAATTTCTTTGTGGGCCTTCCAATAATTAATCCCTTCAAGAGCTCCAATACAATATTTTTCTTTGGTCAAAAACAATAAATCACATAAATTATTATAAAAATAAGAAATCAATGAAATAATTACAAATCAGTTAAAATATCGTTAAAATGATCGATTTGGTTAGTATACTTTTAAAAAGTGATCATTTTGGTCCCTTAATTATATTTTTAATCTTATAATTTCAACACAATACGACGCTCTAGTTAATATAATCATAACTTTATATCAAAGAGTTTCTGGTATGTGTTGAATTTGTGTTAAAATTTTGCAAATAGGTATCAAAATGATCACTTTTAAAAGTATGGGGTCTAAAACGAACTGGACTAAAATGAATTAAAGTTAAAAAGTACAATAACCAAAATAGTATTTTAACTTTACAAATATTAATAAAAACTAAGACATCAATATATGCTATGGTTACAGTCATTCACACCTAAGTTAAATCAATCTATTTGTATGTTCATGATTATAATTTATCATTATTAAAGCTACTAATAAATTTTCTTAATAAATAATTTTTTCAAACATATTTTCTAAAATTTCAAAAAAAAAAAAGGAAAGGAAAATCTATTATATATAATTTAGTAGTATTTCAATACTTACCCTTCATGTTCAAATATCTACCCTATGGGTTTGATAAAGAAAAGTGAAAACTTAAAATAAAATTTTATCTTTAAAATTGACAAAATGCATAAAAAAATTGACTTTCAAATTAAATGATACAATTAATTGCAAAGTTCAATTCTCGCTAATTCATTTGTTAAATTTTAACAAAAAAGCAACATCGTTTTCTCAAAAAAAAAAAATCTATTATTACTTCTTTTTCTTCTTCCTAAAATCATATTAATTTTATACTACCATACATATATTTTTTATAAGTCATTCACTATACGTAAAAATATTTTTTAACAATTATTTAAATTAGAACTCATCAAAAAGTACTTTTATGGTAAAAATTGCAACACTTACTAAAATTAAAATAGGATGAGAATTCATTTATCACAAAAGAAAAAAAAATCATACCCATATCTATAATACAAAAGTGCAGAAATCGACTACTCACATATTCACTTAATAAATATTGGTTGAACTAAAAAAACAAATTCACTTGTCATTTTACACCAATAATAAAAAAAACCAATTAAAAAAAAAAAAGAAGGCAAGACCAGAAATCAGAATGAATTTAGCTCAACAGTAATTGACACTTGTAACCAAGTCATAAGTTTGAATCCCTCTACCCTCAATCGTAAATCATCAAATATCATCAAATTTATAGCAGTGCTAGTTAATTGATGAAAGCAATTTCCACGTCATTCCAAATTCTATCACGTGAATTTAAGTTTAACCTTAAAATTATTGAAGTATTTTTAAAACAAAAGGCAAAGTTTTCAAGATATTTTTTTTTTATAATTTAGCCTTTAAACAAATAATAATAAAGTAAAGATTTGGGCCAGAGTGGATGGGCCCATAAGTGTTGACTTCTCCTGGGCCCTATATTTATATTGCTAGCGACCGGGGGAAGCAAATATTGAAAATAAACTAAAATTTTTAAAATAAAAATAAAATTGCGTGGAGAAGGGACATTTTATATTTTTTTTTCTAAAAATACCGATTTTTGTTAACATTTTAACCAATCGCTTATTAAAAAAAAAATGGTGATTGTATTAAAAAATACCCAAAGTCTTTGGAAGAAAAGGGATTCCCCAACCAAGTCTCACGTGTCAATTCTCAATTTCTATGTGGGCCTATCTATAATTAAATCTCTTCAAAATTTTCAAAAATAAAAATCTCTTTTAGAGGTCCAATAGTTTTCTTCGGTCAAACACAATAATTTAGATGAGTTATTATAAAAATAAAGAATACAACTACAAATATTAACAAAAACTAAAATATCAATATATGCTATGATTATAGTCACATTCGTGATTATAATTTATCATCATTAAAGTTATTAATAATTTTTTAAATAATTAATTAAATAAATAGTTTCCCAAGTTTACAATATAAAAAAGAATATATAGAGAGAGAGAGGGAACTTAGTAGTATATAAGTAATTCTTTTCAAATTTTATGTTAGGCTCAAAACTCTACCTTCTGATATTTAAAAAGAAAAATAAATAAAATTATATCATTTAACATATCAATTTATTTAAAATAAAATAATAGAATTAACTATGATCTAATTTTTAATATTATTAAAATTAATGCTGTTTTTTTTAAAATATTCTAAAGAACTATTTTAAAAAATAATGAATTTTTAAAGTTTCCAGATAAAACAAAAATCTCAAAACTATGAATTGACATGTAGAAACTATAAAAACACATTATTTTTTAAAAATAGGTTGGAGTATGAAGTAATTTTAAAAACAGTATTGATGTTAGTAATATTAAAAAAAAAAGTCCGAAATTAACTGAGAGTTGTAATTTTGACCTCAAATCTCATTTCTGCTGGAACATTTCAAACTCGTTTGGTAACATTTATTTTTCTTATTCATAGTTTTCAATTTTATTAAGAAATCTAAACCTTTGATAATCATTTATATTTTATATTTTTCTTTTTTACTGTTCTTAAATTAGGGGTGTAGAGATCCTATAATGTTAATTAAAAAAAAAAAAACAGAAACAAAAAATGGATACATTATGGTCCTCATTAACTTAATCTAAAAAAGAAATTCACCCCTTTCAATAAAACCATCCTTAATCAAGTAATTGTTCCAAAACTCGAAAAACAAAGAAAAAGCTCGAATATTACTTTTTTCCTAAAATCTTAATTAATGTTATACTACCATACATATTCAATACACGTAAAAAACAATTTTGTCGGCTAAAACTTACTTACAAGTTACAAGTTACAAGTTCATATCAAAAATTTATTTCTCCAGAAAAAA